GTCTATCGAGACCTGCGAGCATGAAACGCAGTATCCCCAGGCAAAAGGGACGTCAGTACAAATAATGTACCGAGTAAGTAAGAAATGAAAATCAGTAAATAATAGACATGAGAGATACATGGAGTAAAAGACTTGACATGTACGTCTGCATAGCTCTGTGAATCATTTCATTTTTATAACNATATGCTTTTCGGATAAACTTTATCAAATATGTATTTTTCTGAGACCTATGAACAGAAGGAATAATAATAATTCACATGGGGAATCAATAACATAGACACCCCTAATACTTTTATGAATAGAGTCATTTATGAAAATTATGCGTTTACTCGTTTCGTTTGTATCGTATGGATCATGCCAAAAAGAAAGAAGGGATAGCCTTAACATGCCTGAACCGATTCTCTTTTGCGTAACAACGGATCGAAGTAGGAAAAAATTCGTATAATATTCTTAAGAAAGATTGTACTGGGCTTTCTTTGAATTCGCATTTCACATTAGATCTTGTAGCATTTCAGAGAATTTCACGTTGGACCTTGTAGCATCATCTCTTCAAAGAATTTTCACGTTGGACTTGTACTTGCAAAGATCTCCCTTTTGAGATTTTCAGCCATAGCATCATTGTTGCAAACAAAAATATATTCACCAACAGTTTCATTTCTTGGCAAAGATTCAGCTGGTGGCAAAGTCTTAAACCTTTTATTAACACCATTCTGTTTTTCACGTTGGCAGTGACATTTTTCTTCAATGATGTAGGAAGAAGCTTTCTTATCAAAGAGAGTGGGCTCCACTTGTGATGACTAGCCACCAAACTCCCCTGACACATGCCACCTAGTCTTGTAATTTAAGACTCATCATCAAAGTCATATAGGGCTGCCACGTTTGGGGGGTAAACTTATCCAAAACATTTTAATTAATTACCAATCCCTTATTTAACTTGGTAATTCCCCACTAATCCAATAATTGACCAATTACCCACATAATTAAGAATTATTTCCACTTACTTAAAATACTACTCATTTCTAACATACCTTATACATCCTACTATCATGGTCATGTGGTACCTCGTATGGCACTAGTCCATAAATACCGGGTATTTTAGCTCGGGCCATATTTTATCCCAACATGTCAAACTTCAACAAAACTCATTTTCTTCGATTCGCTTACCCTTTTACCTTCACGAATTTACTTATCACTTGTTTGAAATAGTACAATGCTTATAATCTCAAAATAATCTCATTCCCGAACTTACATGATTAGCTTACGACGAAACTTTAACGTACGAAAATGCAGAAGGTAACATCTCATTTCTGAGCTTATATCAATTTACTTATGACGTACTTCCATGTATGAAAACATGGGGTGTAACACATGCGTCCTCGTAGCTTATCTTCTGCGGCTGCACAATAATTGTGCGGTCCGCACTTTCGTAGAACTTGATATGTAGGTTCTCTGAACCTTTGCTCTTGCCTAGCTTCTGCGGCTGCATATTTCATGTGCGGACCGCACTTCTCACAGATCTCTGATAAGTTCTTCCGCACAATCTGCGACCGCAGATGATATTCTGCGGTCCACACTTTGAGCTTCTATGCCTGTTTTTTTCCTTGAGTTCAGATCACTCCTTCTTGAATTGAATTTCATCTTGGAGGCTCATTTCCTAATATTCCTGCAATTAAGCATATGTTATCAGTTTTCGGGAACACAATTAAATGTTTTTGAATTAAAATGAAAGCTAAAAGGTGCTAATAAGTAGTCAAAATCCTCACTTATCACATGCCATGTTGAATCCGTTTATAACTCAGACTGCAGGCACAATCCGATCTTGTAGATCGAGCTGTTCAATGACACTCGATCTGATAATGTTGGCCGAGCTACCTGGATCAATCAACACACGCTTAACTCGAGATTTATTTATGAGTACAGATATTACCAGTGCATCGTTGTGGGGCTGCATGATCCCTTCATCGTCCTCGTCGTTGAAAGACAAGGTTCCCTCCGGCACGTAATCCCGAGTCCATTTTTCCCTTGTGATGGATACTTTGGTGCGCTTCAGCATCGGCCCCTGGGGAACGTCGACCACACCGATGATCATGTTAATAACATATTGAGGTTCCTCCTGCTTCATCTGTTTATTAGAATCTCTATTCCTGAAATGATTCTTGGCTCGATCGCTTAGGAACTCTCGAAGATGTCCGTTGTTGAACAACCGAGCTACTTCCTCTCTTAATTGTCGGCAGTCCTCCGTTCTGCGGCCGTGAGTGCCATGATATTTGCATATTAGGTTAAGATTCCTTTGGGCTGGATCAAACTGTAGAGGTCGAGGCCACTTGGTGTCTCTGATACGCCTGATGGCGGTTACGATAGCAGCATCATTTACGTTGAAGTTGTACTCTTATAACCTTAGTTCTTTCTTAGGCCCGATGGGCCTGTCAAAACTATTTTTGCTTATGAGTCCCCTGTTATTTTGACTCTGATCGCTTCTCTTTTTATTTCTCGCAAGGTTTTGTCTGAATCCGTTACTCATACGATCACCGATATACGGCTGATATCGGTCCCTACTTGGTCTCGGTTCATGATCAATGTCTCTTTTGGGTCTTTCACTGGTTCAGATAGGATAAACAAACCCGGAAGGGGGTCCGAGCTGATCATCTTCGACTTTAATTTTTGACTGATATCGGTTATGCACATCGGCCCAAGTTACGACCTAATATTCTACTAGGTTTTGCTTTAACTGTTGCGAAGACAACGAGCTTCGAGTATTGAGTCCTTGGGTGAAGGCCTGAGCGGCCCAATCGCCCGCGACCGGAGGTAGGTCCATCTATTCCATCTGAAATAGAGACACAAATTCTCTAAGCATCTCATTATCCCTCTGTTTCACTTTGAAAAGGTTCGACTTCCTGGTCTCAACCTTGATAGCCCCAACGTGTGCTTTTACGAAGGAATCTGCAAGTATAGCAAACGAGTCAGTAGAGTTAGGAGGTAGGTTGTGATACCATATCATAGCTCATTTCGACAAGGTCTCTCTGAATTTTTTTAACACGACAGATTCGATCTCATCGTCTTCTAAGTCATTCCCGTTGATAACACATGTGTATGAGGTCACATGTTCATTTGGGTCAGTTGTCTCGTTGTACTTAGTAATTTCAGGCATGCGAAACTTTTTAGGGATCAGCCTCGGGGGTGCGCTCAGAGGGAAGGGTTTGTGAACAAACTTCTTGGAGTTCAGGCCTTTCAATATCGGTAGCGCTCCGGGGATTTGGTCGACCCTGGAGTTGTAAGCCTCCACCTTCTTTTCGTTAGCTTCGATTTTCTTTTCTCCCGTTTCCACCCGTTTTTCAATTCCTCGATCATCTTTATTATTTCGGGGTTGGTTTCGGGTTCAACTTCATTTGGCCTATCTGCGGCTGGTTCATTTCTGCGAGTGTTTTCCCGAGATGATTCAAGCTCGACTCTACTGGGAGCACGGATTCAGTTCTGCAGTTGGGCTATCGCTGCCTGCTGAGCCTACAATATTTTGAAGATCACCCGCAAGCTAATCCCATCTCTCTCACCGTCACGATGTACACTTTCAGGTTAACCGAATTTTTTAAAAAATTATGTTTTTGAAACCCATATTGTTATTTTTATACAAAAACCCATATAGTTATTTTTTAGTCGTCTAACAATAATTTTTCATTGATGTACACTTTCAGGTTAACCAAATTTAGTAATTAAACATAAAAATTAATATGATACCTAAATATTAATAATCACTTCACATTCGAAAAACATATACTACCTCCGTTCCAGTTTATGTGAACCTATTTCCTTTTTGGTCCGTTCCAAAAAGAATGACCCATTTCTATATTTGGAAACAATTTTGCTTAAACATACAATTTTACCCTTAATGAGAAGCTTTTATAACCACACAAATATTCTGAACCCCTTTTTGAATTATTTAGGATCACAAATTCTAAAAGTTTTTATTTTTTCTTAAACTCCGTGCCCAGTGAAATATATTCACCTAAATTGGAACGGAGGGAGTAAGAATTTAATAGATCTTTAACCTATGATATGAATATGGAAGAACAAAGAGACAGACGCATTTCAGTAACACTTGAAAAGAAAATGATCATACAACCCATTATTTAAGGTCAATAAATATGGAGCACTTCATATTCTATTAAAAGTTATATCCCGCAAGAGAATTTCAAATATTTCTAGATATTTTTTAAAGAAAATAATTCTATATAAAATCTTAAAAATATATATATAAATTATATATTTATATGACGGGTTGATTCAAATTTTTTTACTCAATACCAAATCAAACCAAGTCAGATTTTTTAATCAGTTTGGTTTGACTTTTCGATTTGGTGCGATTTTTCGATTCGATTTGTACACCCTACCAAGAACTTTGAAGTTTTACGTAAAAAAATGAAAACCACGGCCACCACCTAAAATCTAAGAACACACCCCAAAAAAGCACCCAAACCATGATATAAGTGAAGTTAACTTCTATACATCCATGGTACAAAATCAGATCATTTAAAAAGATAATTATAATACTTATCCATAAAAGTAATATTAATAACTGAAAAACGAATTAAAGTATCCTGATAATACATATTCTTTATACTATCGGTGCACATATAAGTTAATGTACAAAGTAAAAGATTTAAATTATATATATTGATAATACAAAGATTCTTTTACATTATCAATAAATTTTAACCCATGATATACATCAAATCAATTATTATGTTTACCATATTATAAATTAATGTATATCAAGAAATTTACATGTGATTATCTACTAAGTGATCTCATTGTTTAAATATTTTTTACACCATCATAGCACGTAAACTTACTCCCTTGGGATGCTTACATCACATTTTTTGGAATGCAACCTTTTCCCGATTCCTATACGAACACGGAATACTTTATGCACCAAAATGTCCGCATAAAACTTTAAACTCATATAGCTAAGTCAAAAGCATAAAAAATTAAAAAGAGAGGAAACCCCCTCCTTCTATCTCTTAACTCTTTCTTCTTGTTCCTCAGTTATCATCATCATCAAACCCCAACCTCTCCCTCTATCTCTCTCTCCCCTAGTTTAGATCCTTGTGGAATTCATCGATCAGCGGATTCATCCTTTTCTCTTCTCCCTTATAACCATATAAACAAAAATTAAACCCTTGGTCTCAAATTTTTAATCTATGTTAATCTTTTACTTAATTTCACATAATACCAATGGAGGAAGGATCAAAGATCTAAGCAGCTAAGAGTACTATCTTTTCTATTATTTTTCCTCGGCTTAACTTAATCATTTGTCCACTTAAAAGGCCCGATTTTGAGCTTCAAACATGGCAAACCCATGGTGGACAGGTCAAGTAAATCTAGCTGGAGTTGAAACATCATCCCAAGCCGGCGCACAGACACTCAAGAAGCCAGATCTAGGCATATCTATGAACGACAACACTGGATCAAGAGATAATAATGATGAAGAAAGAGAGCACAGTGATGAGCCAAAAGAGGGCGCAATTGAGGTCGCCACACGCCGACCTCGTGGACGCCCTCCCGGCTCGAAAAATAGGCCAAAATCGCCCATTTTCGTGACAAGGGATAGTCCAAATACATTAAGAAGTCATGTTATGGAAGTAGCAAATGGTGCAGATGTAGCTGAAAGCATAGCACAGTTTGCAAGAAAGCGTCAAAGAGGTGTTTGTGTATTGAGTGCCAGTGGAACAGTAACAAATGTAACCCTAAGACAACCATCTGCTCCTGGTACTGCTGTCATGGCATTACACGGTCGTTTCGAGATTTTATCGTTGACCGGCGCATTCCTCCCCGGTCCTGCTCCGCCCGGGTCAACAGGATTGACTATATACCTAGCAGGTGGACAAGGACAGGTACTATTGAATTGTATAACCTAGATTATTTTTTGCTAAAGAACGAAAATATTATAAATAATTATATGCACCACTACAAAAGCAAGTGCCATCCGTAGCACGCCTAATCAGATCATTGATTTGAGACGTGAAAATAGTACCTTGCATGGACAAGGGTATGATTGCGTACAGTAAAGCCTTATAGTCCAACGCATTTTTGTGGATCCTGCACGTAACGGGAGCTCACGGCTGCCCTCAGTAGCACCTAAGTAGTTCAAATTACACATACTTTTGGTAATTCTAACAAAAGGGGTTCCTAATTTGTCTACTTAATTCTAAACTTTCCAAAGCAAATAATAAAAGAACGGCTAAATAATTACTTAATTATATTATGTTTGGACAGGTCGTGGGTGGAATTGTAGTAGGGTCATTAGTAGCTTCAGGACCTGTTATGGTGATTGCCTCTACTTTCTCAAATGCTACTTATGAGAGGTTACCGTTAGAAGAGGAGGAAGAAGGTGGAGGCGCCGCCGCAGCACAAGGACAACTTGGAGGAAGTGGATCACCACCACCACCACCACAACAAGGTGGTATGGGTGAAATTCCATCTTCAAATATGCAGACAGTGTATAATTTGCCACCAAATTTGCTACCTAATAATGGTGGACAGTTGAACCATGAAGCATTTGCTTGGCCACATGGACGCCCTCCTTACTAAAATTAATGGTAAAATATATGTTAATAATAGTTAAGAAAATTATTTAGAGAAGTAGAGCCCGGTTCCCTCCTTAATTTATTTATGTTTGTGTGCCCAAATTTTGAGAGTAGGTTAAGAAAAACAAAGTTAAGGTTTTAATGATGTATATTATCTGAATTATATATTCTCCTTGTATTCATTTCTCGATTTGTTCATGTCATTTTGCGCATCCACCATGCTAATTTTTTCTTGTAATTCCAATTTTATCGGATGTGTACCCGAAGGGCAAAGCAATGCACTATATTTTATTTCTAGCCAAAGAAAGTGTAGAAGCAAATAAAATGATGCCAAAAACGAACTGAAGCTTTAAGTCATCAATTCAACAGTCTGGCTCTTGGGTATGCATGAATTGCTTACTTTTGAGTTGAGCTGAAAATAGCAAGTGATTTAGTTTAGTAGTCGTATTAACATTATTATTATTATTATCATTATTATTATTATTATTATTATTATTATTATTATATAAAGAAATAGTTCAGGTGAAGTCATTCCAAACAGCATCATTCATGTTGGAAGCACTAAATTTCTTATGGGAAAGTAATAAATTAGATAGAAAGATGTAAAATCTATTTTGCCAATATAGTAATTAAAAATGACACCTAACCTATTATCACAAGTTAACTACATTAATAGTATATATAAATATCATATTAACTAGTGTACATAGCTTAAATCCTTTTTTGTTGGTACAGTATTTCAAAAATCATTATAGTAATGTTTAAGATTGAGCAAGAAAATGCAAGAAAAGATGTCATTGCAGCTCTTAATTTGAAAACAAATGTACACGGAAAAACACATCTATCTGTCGTCCTTTTTGAGCCTTTAACTATCAGCATACTTTATAAATATAAAGTTTGCTTTAACATTGAATAATTAAGAAACTTCTCTTATTTTGACATTGAAGTGACAACCTTTGTTTATCTAATGTGAGTTTTCCTACTCAAATTGAATACATAAGACTAGCAACGTTGTATGAAAGTGCATTATTGGGAATTTGGGATCAAGAACAAACATACATATGACAAGATGAATAGCATAGTCGCAGATATTAAAATGGATATATAGTTTATACAATTATATAAGATCTTAAATATAATAAGAACAACTCAAAAAAGCTGAAAGTAACACACATAAAGAATAAAATGCCTAAAATGCCGCGGGGATTTGTCACTTGAGATAATTTGGTCTTATACTACATAAACCTTCAAATTAATGTATTGCCCCCTACGTGTGAAATTAATCTCTATATGACCTATTTTAGACCATAGATTTTACTCTCTGCACTTCAATTTATGTGACAATTATTTTTTATTTGTTCGTTCTAAAGAGAATGACACATATTTATATTTGAAAATTATTTAATTTTAAACTTTTTATTTTACTTATTTTATCGTTAATGAAAAAATTTTATAATCAAATAAATGTTATGACCTACTGAGTTTTTATCCTTCCTGCTTTTAGACAAGTTTCAAAAACATTCTTTCCTTTTTTCCTTACACTTCGTATCGATTGTCAAATTATGTCATATAACTTGAAATAAAGGGGTAAAAGTGTTTTGGTTCTTTTTTAAATTCCATACTTATTAGTCAAACACTATCACAAATATTACGACGGGTAGTAATAAATAAATGTCCTTAAACAACGAAAATAATATCTGCTATAGTGCTACTACAGTTGTCACAAAGGAATAGTTTATTAGTTAGACAATAAAGTAGGGTTTCCATCACTCAGTATAATTAATCTAGTTTACGTGGTTGAGGTGAACACGGGTTATCTTGACTAAACAACAAATAAAATGATGACCTTTAGTAATTTATCTAATTCATAACACAAGATGTTAAGACTAGTGTTGTGATGAATATAGGTACGTATATGGGAGTTGGGATTAGCCATAATATATATAGTTTATCCCTTTGGAAAATGTATAAAATAATGAGCCGTACGTAAAATGATAGACTTTTATGGTAGCTCATATCATGTAGCTACAGCAGGTCTACGGAAAATTATAATTTAATGTTTAATTAATTAGTTAACCGAACTTTTAGACTTGTATTATGTTAAATATGGGACGTATGAGAGATTAATTTGCACGTTAATTTGTTATTTATTTAGCACACTGCACACTAAAGCAGCAGGTTACACACCTGCCCATTAAAATAAAAGCAAGTCAGAACTATATATATGTGTTCCATTCCTATAATTTTTTACGACAGTGCGATATTGTTATAGAAATTATATAATTGGACATAACATGAAAAGTTAGTTACGTTGTAAAAAACATCTTAGCCCGTTACAATGAAATACTATAGAAGATGATTGTTATAGAGAGTTTGAATATAGATGAGGACTAGTCAAAGATTTTACCCAGGCAAGAGGCAGGGCAGTATTATCTTATGTTCACGCAGGATTCGAAAAAATACTGCACCTTAAGAGATGTGATTGTAATAATCTACCATAATACAAGCATTAGTGACTGATTTCACGGATGCGTTACCCGAGCCAAAATGATTTGCAAAAAGAATACTCCGTAAAAGATATGCTCCGATATTAGTTCTTATTATCGTCTTATGTCAAGTAGTACAATATCATGTATCATGCAAAATGGACTAACAAATCCTAGGAATAGATTTCGCAGTCGATTAGGCATCCATAATCAGCTAATAAACTATTTAATTATACTTAAAGACGGTAATCAAGGATCATTGATTGGCTAAAACTCTTATCTAATCAATCCCTCAGAGAAGATATTTCACTTTTTGTTATTCCTTTTTTTTTTCCTGCTGCTAAATGCTAACTGGAAAAAGGAAGTGGGATTTGCTTTTAAAGAAACTTTCTGCTCCACTTTCTGAAAGGGAAATTATCATATGTGTGGCTAGGGCAATGTAATGGTATGACCGCCTTTTTTATCTGATTAAGAGAGAGGAAGAAAGAAAATGATATGTTTGCAAATGATAATATTTTCCTATCTAAAAGCTCAGACGTATAGGAAGAAAGATGAAGTATATATAATATTATTCCTAGTTGCTTTACGGCTTGTTTGGATGGTTGTTACTCATTGTATCGTATTGTATTGTTATCTCAAAACAATGTTTGTTTTGATTGTTTCATTTAAATTGATTATATTGTATTGTAAAATCTATTGTTCCGGTACAATGAAAAGTCTTATTTTTTAAAACAACCGATTTGATGTGGTGATAGGGGTGGCAAGTGGGCCGGGCCCGATCCTAAGTGGGCTTCGCGGGCCCGGTCCTAAGTGGGCCGGTCCTATGCGGTCCGGTCCTAAACGGTCCTGGGCTTCGCGGGCTTATTGCTGGAACCGGCTCGGGACCGGGACCATGAACTAACGG